CAATATGTAGAAAATAAATAAAAGCAACAACAACTATAACTTTTCATGTGTATGTAGAGCCACTGGCAGTCGAAACCACTTCCATGTATACTCCAACCAACTACATACATACTACATTTTCCTCCTCTACCATCCATGCCCAGCTTGTAAGCGGTTTTTGCCCTTTTCACCAATGCAAGTTACCGTCGAGTCGTCGCCGTCGTCATCGTCATCATCGTCGTCTGCACTACTTTGCACTTTACTCGTAATACTTAAGTATTCTGGCAAATTTTTCACATTCGATTTACAGCGTTACGTGTTGCGGTTCAGATTCTGTTTCTACATTCACTCAACGTCGCTGCTGCCCGCCCACACAAGACTCTGCATGCTGCTTTCCTTCTATGCTCACCATGCTTCGGTCAGCTATTTTACTCCTTTTCACAAAAGTTTCCTGCCAAATGCCAATAACGTAAGCTCAACCCTGCCAAATGGTCAAAAATAAAAAAATGTTCCACGCTTTTTGATTGTACGACCATGTTGCTTATTCCTGTAGAACGGCGAAAAACTACGCTGTTATGCGCGCCAAATGCGAGTACAACTGCGGTCGTTTTGAAACGTTGCCAGCTGTGATAATGGGTAGTGGATAAGTGGAGTGAGCAGAAGATGGATTTTTGAGCTTGGAGTGGGCATAGTACTTTTGTAAGACCACTGCCACCACTACAGAAGAGGCCAATAAAAGGGGGAAACAAATTTGGCGCCAGACGCTTCTGCGGGATCTGAAGCCCTGATTTCGACTTGGGCCCTGAGAGTTAATGCAGATAAATACTACTTTGGAGTCGTTACGAACAGTTAGTTTTTCCAAATTTACATTTCCGTGAGGGGTGAACGCTTAGATGGCAGCGGCTGGAGGTAGGAACAAAGCTTAATCGGTTTAAACAAGTCCTAGTTTTTAGCGTTGCACACCTGTCCAAGGCGTGGTGCACCGTTTATCATTCCACGCTATAAGAAACGACATCAGTCTCTCCCACAGTGACTTAAACGGTGGCTATCTTCGGAGAACGAACGTTAAAGCCCAAGAAAACTTAAGCAGCGTGCGAGCCGGTGGTGTCCTCTTCGCCGAAAAAAAAAAACAAATAAAAAATCCAAAAGGTTTAATGTTCGAAAAAATAATTTCCGTAAAAAAAAAATATAGAAAATAAAACTGCTCTGAATGGATTTTCAAAAGTTCTTTAGAACTCCCGAGAGGAACAAAAATGTTCTCCAAAATTTCGCAAAAAAATAAGTGTTCAAAAAAATCGAAAAAGTTTTATGTGTGAAAAATATAAAAATCAAAACCATTTTGAGTAACTTTTCCATACTTTTAGAGTTCGTGAAAACGAAAAACAGTTCAGCAAAATTTGGCAAACAAAAAAAAAATATATAAAAAAATCAATTTGAAACTCTTCTGAGTAGCTTTTCAATAGTTCTAGACTCCCTGAAAAGGAAAAAAAAAGAATTCTGCAAAATTTCGGCGAAAACAATTTTCCTTAAAAAAGTCGAATACATTAATGCGGGGCGATTTGCATGGCCTTGCATTTTTGGTAATCCGAATAAGAGAATTTGCATGTCGAAGCCACAGCCCTTATTCTTAAACGTAATGCTATTTTTTTCAAAAATTTTACCTAAATATGCTCAATATTTGTTGAATTTATATAAAATTTGTACTCAAAAATATTTCTATTGCTCCAAAGAACCTATATTCCGAAAATGAAAGTTATATCTGGAAAACCCAAGCTGTTAGAGCATTTTAAAGGCTCAAAACCGACCCCAAACCAACCGTCCACTTACAAAAATTTAATCTGTCGGTAGGTATGGACCGCCGCTTTTTTCAAATTGTTTATTTATCTCTCCTGCAATAAGTGTTTTTGTGAAGCTGTAAAAATTACGACTACAATATTTAAGCATGGAATCCATACCGAAGCGTAATACTATGTTCTGACCGACATCGACCGTCTTCGTTGCTAAAACTGGTTTTCGACATAAAGCTTGTATTTTCGTCCATGTAAAATCTGTCAAACGAAAAGCAGTTTTCACTGAAAAATACTTGAAAACGTTCCACTTATTCCAATCGGTGTCTTAACTAGTTTTTTCGATTATTTACCGAAGTGGAAGTCATATTTTATCATATTTAATACGCCATTTCGGATTTATTGTTAATTGTCTGGTCAAAGTAAAATAAGAATGAGAGTAAGAGGTTGCTAATGAAAAGAAAATGAGAGAAAAGCATTTTAGTTTTATTCTTGTGTAGCGAAACTGTAATCAGAGGATGTAGGAAATGTCAACAAAAACTCTAACAGCCGGTGTGAACTAGTGATGGAAAAAAATTAATAATCGATTAATCGGTTAATTGATTTATCGAAAGCATTCGATTAACAATTGCAATTAATCGTAAGAAATTAGCCGATTAGTCGATCATTTCGATTAAAATCGAAAATTAATAAAAACGATTTATAAGTTATAAAAATTGATTTACACCCTGTGTCAAAATTATAGCGCACAACAAGATTTGTTTTTTTTGTTATTTAATTTTAGTTATTTTTTTAAATATAGTTTATTCTTTAGCAAAAAACGAATAAATATAAAAATATCAAACTTTGTGCAATAGTAAAAAAAAATAAACAAAAAATTCCAGCGTTTTGATTCGATTTCTTAGAAAGATTTTCAGTATGCAGTTAAATGCATTAAATTTTTGTATGAAAAACTCCAAGACTGATTTTTGATATTTTTCTGTTTGGTAATGGTGTTACGCATTTTCTTCTTCTTTATATGGAAGAAAATAATATGAAAATATGTGCATACAGCCAACTTATTTTGAATAATGTATGCTTGAGTAAATTTGTAAATTTTAGATGGTTTCCTTTCGATTATTTTGAAAAATTAATCGGTTAATAGCTCGATTAATCGAAGGGAAAATGTCGATATAATTAAATCGTTAACCGAATGAAAATATCCGATTATAATCGGTTATTTGATTAATCGTGCCATCACTAGTGTGAACAGCCTTCAGCCCACAATCCCAAAACTCGTTTTCGAAGTGTTTTCGTTGTCGGTCAGAACATGGTATTAGATGTTTTCTACGTCAAAAGTTTATAAATACAATATACAAATACGTATTTTGTGTTTTATATTTGTATTTCAAATACTTAACAACTCTGGCGACAGCCGGTCTTTGGATGTGATGCCTTTCCACCTTGCTATCAATCTCCTCCTTTTCATTCACGTTGGTGGCACTGTGAACCTCAACTTGTCGATGGGGAACAGATAAAGGAAGGTGAAACATCTTCCCCGGCTTGACCCTGCAGTCGTCCACGGACTGCCCGAATTCCAAAACATTTTTTATCTGTTTATCTTGAGCTGGTGGTTGCGGTATTCTGTTGCCTGAGTATGACTTTCAGGTTAATGCCGTGACCGCCTACGTCACATTAAAAGTCTAGCAGGCCTCCAATTACGTTCCGATCTCTTCGCCGATAAGTTGGTGTTTGTATGTAAAATTGCCTTTATACATGAGGCGATTTTTTGACAGGCGATAATCGCCTACAAAAGTTGACTAGCTGTCTATTTTGAGACGATATTTGAATCACAATTTGCACGAGCGATTTTTCGTGAGCAATGTTGAATCGCCTAGAAAACAGCCTCAGAGGGCTCTTTACGAATTACTTTGGGCGCGGCAGTCAAATTGTCTGTCACAATGGAGAGGATTTATTGGGCGATACAAAGCTTTAAGCCAGATTATGAACATCTTCATGGCCTGTTTTAAGCTAGATTACATACCGACAGCGTGGAGATCTATCTCAGCTGTCTTTATTCCTAAATACGTTAAGATTTCACGTACAAATCCAAAGCACCTTAGACCTATTAGCCTTTATTGCTCTGTGCTTAAAACCCTAGAAAGGATGGTTAGTAACTACCTATCTTCAACTATTGATAGTAGAATACTGTCTAACAAGCAATATGCTTATCTGGAGGCCAAGTACACGGAAACCGCGCTGCATGGCCTAGTCAGTTTTATTGAAAAGTCCTTCAGTTACAAAAAATATTGTCTTGTAGCCTTTCTTGACGTTTAGGGAGCTTTTAATAATATAAATTCGGGGGCTATAATATAGGCCTTGTGGGGACTGGAGGCGTACAATTCTCTGGTGGAGTTTATAAGGCAAATGCTCTAGTGCTGGGTGATCACGGAAAACGTCGGTGATAACTCGGCTTCAAGATATGTGACAAGAAGCACACCGCAGGAAGGCATGCTCTCGCCACTCCCTTGAAACATAAACTCTGTCTTGGGAGAGACGAAACGGGGAAGCGACTGGCAACAAACTTGAAATTTCTCTGTACAGCTGGCTTCGGTGCTATAGACTGAAGTTTTAGCAATCGTTCCCTGTCCCAAATTAAATCATGAAAAAGGTTTGAAGGGTGTCTTACTAGTAATCTTTTCAGTTGGCAAGGTAGTTTAAAATTTTGGGTAGCTAAAAGCTGAAATGTACCGTTCAGAGGGGGGAGGGGTTGAGTGAATGATGTGAAATTTTGTATTTATGACTTTTACTATTCCCTTTGTAAGACCAATAGGTTTTGTTTTATCACCTGTCACCATGACTTTTGTCCACCTGCCTCAACATAGTCGAAACACTGCGCCACTGTGAGATCTGTTAAGAGGGCAGCTATGAAAAAAAAAAAATGATGTTTAATAGTTTAACATTACATAATAGATGACGGTATTTTTTTATACACAAATGGTAACACCCTATATTCAAATAAAATAAACTGTACTGCATTCGTCTACACGTGGGCAATCCAGACCGCATGAAACTTACAGCTTTACAGCGAAAAAAAGCTACCTATCCACTCAGCGATGAAGCCACTCATTCGCTTCCAAAACTTGACAAACTCGATATGTGCAAGCGTATGAGTTGATTTGCACACATGTAGAAATGAGTTGGTAAGCATACGTATTATATGTATGTATGTATATGGTGGATGGTGGTACTTACCCTCTGTACCGTTGGCCAATTCAATGGCTACTCCATTTTCGCGCCGCCATGTAATTGTTGGCTCTGGTGAGCCGGTAGCCGCGCATTTGAGCGTCACATTACTACCCTCGCGTACAACCATATCCGTGCTGGTGGGATAATCGAGGATATCCGGCGGGACTGTATGCGCGTATGAGGTTGCAGAACGAAGAATGTCGATTGGAGTGTGTGTAGTGTGCACCAAAAATGTTGAACAGGAACATTGAGTGGCGGCAAGCGTGAACATATCCATAGACACAGTAATGCAGCCAGCAAAGAGACAATGAAGCATAAAGATGAGGCGCAGTACATAGATAAGTGGTGGATGCATGGAAGTGCAGTTGAGTTCCGGTTGGCGGGCGATTGCAGTGAGTTGAAGGTTTGTTATGGTTACGTTGTTGACGGTTGTTATTTTATTTTGCGCACGTATACATGCGTAATGGTGTGTGTGTGCGCGTATGTTCGTAGATGATAGCACAACGCGGCAGGTGTTTCACATTTGTGTACACATTTTTTTTTACATATACAAATTTTAGTTGCATAAGTTGTTGCCGTTATTCAAATGTCGAAAAGTGCACAAGTAGTTATATAGAGAAAAAAAATATGTAAATAGATTGCAGCACAGCAGCGATGGATATTTTGTAACGATTTTGTACAGTTTTTATGTTTGCATGTGTAATTCATTTCAATGAGTGTGCATTCGACAAGTCGAGTGAATCACAAAATTTGTTGCAACATTTACCCCATTACGTTGCATAGTTCGTGGCGCATAAAAATTGGGGCGATTTTTATATTTTTTTTTTCAATTTGAGAATTTTAGTATTTTTTTTTTTAGCAATAGCGAGCATAACGAAATTTTTTAGTATCGGTGGGTAATGTTGTTATTGCATGTTGACCAACACGCGGTGTATATATTTTTTTTATCAAAGTTTTGTGTTGATTATTTTTGGCAAAGCGATTGTTGCGATAACCATCAACGCGCGGAATTGTGGCATGGGGTTCGAGGCACAAACATTACATAATTAATAGGGGAGGGCGGTGAGATGTGGCAGCAATCGTTGTTGTGGCGTCGATTTCAGCGTGATTATCATGTTGTTGGTGTTGTGGTTGTTTTTTTTTGTTTTTTGTTGTATATACACATACATACATTATGGTTGTTCAAGGTAATTTTTGATTTTTCACATAATTTTTAGGGTGGATTTTGATCGAAATAAGTGTCGTAGTTGTATACAAAAATGTGTTTTTAGAGATATTTATGAATGTGTTTTTTTTGTTTTTGTTTCGTTCGTTGGAGGATTTTTGTTATTATTCGCACAAACAATTAAAGATTTTTAATAAAAAAAAACATCGGGATTTTTTTATTTTTGTGATTTGTGAATTTAGTGTATTTTAAGAATTTTGAATTTTTTGTAAAAAAAATTGCAGTTGTGTTATCGATTTATTGAACATGACGTTTAATTAAATACAATATATAATTTATTTGTTTTCATAGTGGGTTTAGTTGTCGTGTTTTTATAGTTTGGTTATAAATTTCATGCGTTGAGTTGCCGTTTTGTTTTGTGGTAGTTGTATTTGTTGTTTAAGTTATTGTTTTGTTTTCATATTGTTGTTGTTTGGTTATAATTTTTTATATTTGGTTCAAATAGTTTATTTTTTTTAATAGTTCATATTTGTGTATTAATTATTTAAATCAGGGTTTTATTTCGCAGTTTTTATTGTTGTTGTTTGTCATTTTTGATTTAGTTAGCATTTTATCGTTGTTGTTGTTAGTTTGTTGTCGATGTATTTGGTTTTGTATATTTTGTTGAATTTAATTTAATTTTAATTTATTTTATTTTATTTTATTTTATTTTATTTTATTTTATTTTATTTT